CGTCCTTGGCAAAGCTCTGGGTGCACCAGATCTTGGTGGTCCTCCGGCCCTTCTTCGGCCTCTCCGCGGCGGCCGAGGGCTGTGGGGGAGAGGAGGGGGCTGGAGCTGGACCCTCCCCAGGGAAAGGGGGGGATGCTCAGAGCCCACAGGTGCCGCTGTCCCAGCTCACCTGGCCGCCGGAGATGAGCGGGGCCGAGGGGATGCGGTGCAGGGCCTCCAGGTTCTGGAGCATTCCCGTCAGCTCCTGCAGCTTGGCCTGGCACTCCGACAGCTCTGCCGGGGGCACGGGGTCAGGGAGGGGGCACAGGGCACCCCCCCTGCCCTGCACACCCCTTCCCACCCCGCTCACCGGCCGAGCAGCGCTCCAGCCCCTCGCTGTCCTTCAGCCAGGCGTTCACCTTGTCCCGGGAGCTGGCGAGCGTGGACAGGGCAGGGGCACTGCCCGAGGGCAGGATCCTCGTCCACTGGCCCTGCGAGCAGGGAAACGGGGGCACTGCCATCAGGAGCCCCTCTCCCAGACCTCGCCTCGCGTTGTCACCTTGAGGTGTCACCCACCTGGGCGTTGGTGGGGGTCCTCCCCCCGGGGCCCCCCGTGGGACAGGGCTTCTCCCCGTGGTGGTGGGTGCAGAGGCTGCTCACCCAGCTGGAGAAGAGCTCCGGGGACTTGATCTGGGGGACACGGGTGAGTTGGGGGGGGGGACAGAACCTGACAATACCGACTCTGTTTGAAGCCCCACCCCGTCCCCCAGCGGCACCTTGAGGTGGTAAATGTTCTCCTCCGTGTCCAGGTCGACCCTCTGCGCCTTCTTGTTGACGGACATGACGGACTGACGGACGTCGATGGCACCGTGCAGTTTGCCCTTGAGGACCTGGGGGAGCCCGGGGATGCCTGTCAGGGGGAAGACCCCCCTTCCTCAGGGGGGCCACGGGGGTCTCCCCCGCCCTGAGCCCACGGGGACGCTGCGTGGGCACAGCCCGGGCACACACTCACGTCCTGGCGGGTGGTGGAGTATTTCAGGATCCCGTTTTCCAGCACAAAGTACCGCTGGGGATGGAGAGGGAAGGTTGTTGTGCGGGGGGAGCAGAGAACAGTCCCTGCAGCCCTGCTTCCCAGGGGCTCAAACTGTGCCAGGACCAGATGGGTGATGGCTCCTGGTGCTGGCTCTGCCCGTTACCTTGTGCCAGCCCTTCAGGGGCCATTTCCTCTTCTTGAGCAGGTACCCCTCGTGCCTCTGCAGCTCCTGCCCTGGGCTGCCCCGTGCACGAGGCTCCTCCACCACCTCCCAGCTCTCGGAGCCCTGCAGGGATGGGGGTCAGTGTGGGGGTCCCTCAGCACCAGAGGCAGACGGGGTGCTCCCCACCTTGTCCTCCAGGCACCCCCAGCTGACAGACCACCTCTGCACCACCCCTCCTAAAGCAGTGAGAAGCCCCCCGAGGCCTCACAGCACCCCCA